GTCAATTGCAAGAAAACCGTAGCTGGTTTTTGTTGCTTGACTTCTACGCAGCTCCTCCAATAAGTTGGAGAAACTGTGTTGCTTTGTTTAGAAACTTCTTTTCCATCAAGTCCCGCCCTGAGTCAGAGCCGGGCAGTCTGGAGGGAACACACCACACAGGCCTGTGGGAATGGTGAGAAAAATCCCAGCATTAGTGGAGTGGCAGAGACAAACCCAGGGTGGAGGTGATCCTAGTGGCAAGGCCTGCCGCTCACTGAACAGTTGTCAGACAACCCTGGGGGCCCTTCATTTACTTTTACAAACGGATTTAATAAGTTTGGAGAAGAATAATTTCACTAGGCTTAAATGAAATCCCAATGTCAAAGGTACAGTAACCCACCTCTCCGTCCCCAAAAGGGAGGAGGGCTCTGAGTTAAGGAGGTCCCTCCTAGACTCCTGATCTGTGATTCTGCCCTTCACACGCTGTACAAATCTGGCAAGAATTCTTTATTTGCTACCAAACTAACTAAAACACACTAGTCGCCTTAAATTTGAACTTGTGGCCCAGGTGTTAAGGGCAGGAAAGCGAGTTCTGGTTGCATATTCATTAACTAGCACTCAAGACTCTTTCCTTGAACCTTGCAGGCCCTTCCTATTTGTGTCCTATTCCGTCACCTAGCCTCCTTCCCACACCACAAGAAAGAACATAAGACAAGTCAGAAATAGAGACTGAGAAAAACTGTAGAAGAATTTAGGAATCTTTTTCCTCCTCTAGAAGGAACATGCATTGCCTTTGGTGCTACGTACTAAACAGGAAAGATATGGGTGAGTCTGAGTGCCTGAGCGGAGGACTACTCAGAATAATAACCCTTTCTCCCTCCTTCAGCTCCAAGTGGCTAATAAGAAGCAGAGGAAGCAGACCGTTGCTTGTGATGAAGAGGTGGGAGCTGTGAATGTTGGGAAGGTCTGAAAACCCTGAAAACACGAGCAGAGATAAATTCATGCACTTTGCAGAAGGCTGGATAAGTTATAATTTTTCCAATCCATTTTTTTTTATTTTAAAAAACTCAACAGTATTTCATGACTTAGTAAAGAAGGAGAGAGTAAAAATTATGCATGATTTGGAAATTGATGGCTCTATTGTGTTGTTTTTAAAATCAGATTGCAATAATCTTAATCAGAAAGTGCATTTACTGGTGACAGGGGTGCAAATTAAAAGCCTGTAAAAATTATTCAAGTTCTTGAGTAATGTCAAGAACATGGCTTAGGAATCATTGAAATCAAAATTAGATGCCTAAAGAGAACCTTACATTGGTTTAGAGGTGTAGGACTTTTTTCTTATTTCCTCAGAAGGTCTTAACTCAGAGTTTGTTATCTGGTCTCTTCATGTCAAGGACTGGTCTGCTTCCCTCACAACATCACATACAGGACAAAGCGCACACACGCGGAACTGGCCTTCTGCATGAACTTAAGTGGGTAGGGAGGGCAAATAAACATTGCCTTTCCCAGGTTGGGAAGGCGAGGAAGCCTTAATCATCAGCTCTGGCCAAAAGAGGTGGGATTAGAGGATTCTTCAAGAAAACCCAAAGAAACTGTAACTGAGTTTCTCTTTTGCCTTTAAGAAAACAAATGGGCTCCCTTGCATTGTTTAATAAACAATGCTAAGTGTTGAACAGTTTTAAAAGCTTCACAATTTTCCAAATATGCTCTGCTTTTATTGGTGGTTTTATCTTCTCGTTGTAATTTTTCAAATATATTTTTTTTGGGGGGGGGAATCCCAAGTACTGGACAGATTGACAATAAGATGGAGGCCTTTCCTAAATTACATTTTGCATTTTGTTTAAGACAACCTTTACTTAATAGGGATATTTGTAAAAATTAACACCTGCCTTCGGTTAGGTTTTGGCTGTAAAATACTCATTCACACATGTTGGAATATCAAGAACTGGATTTGTCAAGCACCTCCTCGGGCTTCAGGATTAGGAAGGTCAGGTCTGTAAAGGTAGGGCATAATTGCTACTTTGTGATATTTGTTACTCAAATGACACTACTTTCAAACACTTGTCAAAAAGGCAAATCCCGAAAAGATCAGGGAAAACCTGGTCTGAAATATTAGCTATACAAAGCATGTAGAACCCATAGGCCATGATTTTCCTTTTTAGGAAAAGGAGAAATTTACTAAGGTCAATGTGCCCTTAAGGAGTAGGGAGTGGGGGAGGGGGGAGAGGGGTAGAGGGAAGGACACGCGTCAAATGTAAAACAAACTGGTGGCATTCAGTCAACAAGGCAGGCGACGCTCCTGAAGTGGTGAGTTGTACAAGTCAGCTGGGTGCGCCCGCGCTTGCCAGAGCCAGGCTGGTCCGTGCTTCTCTGCTTTTTCCTTTAAACCGAGCCCTGTGTCGCGGGGATACAATGGGGAGGGGGGTTTTCGATGTGGGAATCGTCAGGTAGGAAAGGAAACCAGATCCGCCACAAAAGGCTGCAATTAAAGTCTTAACGGCGACCCATCTGTCGTGGGACGCCCCCTTCCCCTTCCCCTAGCAAAGCCTTCCAGCGCCCTTTGTCTGAGCAGGGGGAGAAGAGAGGACAGGATCTGTGGCCCCAAGAGCAAATGGGAGGGGCATTTCCAGCCTGGGCGCACCCTGGGTGACTGCGCCCGGGCCGGGACCGCTCCGAGGTGCTCCCGGAGGTGTGGCGCGTCTTTCCGGACTCGGCCCCGGGCTCTGCGCCCGCCTCTTTCTGCACTTCTCTATCGCCGCTTCGATCCAACCAGCCCGAAGCCACCCGAGACCGGACAGGGGGCACGTCTAGGCCTAGTCGCTAAGGCCCCTCGCGCCCCCCACCTGGCCCTAGGGCTGCCTTCAACTTGCAACAAGATCAAGCCTCTCCCTTGGTTTCCTCGCAATTGGGTTGCCCCACCACCCTCTCAGCTGCTCGGCTTCGGCCTTGGGCATCAGGCACCGCCCCAGCCCAGGCTCTCTCCGCGTCCACCCCTCTCGGCTCTCCGGACGGGGGCGAGGCCGGCCCTCACGAAAAGCTAGGGTGAGTGGCCCCCGGCAAATGCTGGACAGGGAGACAGGGAAGAGGTAATGTTTCAGGTCAATTTCCGGAGACTTCGCGTTTTTTGGTGGAATTGGTCAGGAGCTCAACAACCCCAGGTTCTAGTGGGCTTGCATCCCGCCACCCAAGAGACGCACCCGACCCCAATCCGTTCTACACGCGCACGCGGGGGTCACTCACCGGGTAGGCAGCACCCTGGGCTGCTGCGGACCGCCACCGGAGGGGCGTGCAGAACGCCAGGCCCGAGCTGGCAGCTCTGCGCTCCGCCCCCCGGCGCGGGCTGGCGGCCGCCGCGTTCTCCCGGTGCAGCCCCCAGGCACGCCCGGCGCTGGCACACCTGACCTGGGTGCTGACCTCCGCGCGATCGCCGGCTCGCCAAGGGGAGGGACGAGCAGGGCGCGCGCCGCTGTTCCCAGCGCGCCCGGGGCCCGCGCCTGCCGCGGCGGCGAGAACCCGCGCAGCTGAAGTCGCAGCCACTGGAGTCTTCCAGAAACACTCGTGACACTCCACCGCTCCTCCCTGCAAGTTTGGTCCCGGGCGCCACACCCAGAGGCCGCCCCGACGCGGCGCGGCGCGGGAGCCAGGTCTCCGCGCTCCGGGAGGCGCCAGCGGGGTCGCAGCCAGGGCGCAGCGAGGTCTCTGGGCTCGCCGCCCGCGCTGCTTCGGAGAGGCGTGCGGACACCTGCAGTCGGGAGGTTGGGGGAGGAAATCAATACGTTCTTTCCCTTCTCCACTCAACGTTCAGAATTAAAAATGCTCCCGAGAGAGCTCTAGTGAGTGCAGGCACTTAAACAACAAACAAAAAAAATACTCTTTCCGGCCTCTCAATGGAAACGCATAAAAGCGCACGCGTGTGTTGGTGTGTGGCGGGGGTGGGATCCGGCCCTAACGGAGGTTTCTTTTCGCGGGACACGCGCTTATTCCCTGCAACTCCTCTTCAACTTTGTGGGCGTCTGTCACGGCATCGCATTCACAAAACCACAAACACATCACAAGTCTCCCAAGGCCTTTAATTCTCAGGGGCTACTGGGGAGGCCAGTTACCTGCTGGCGTCTTCCTAGTGGTCCAGGCTCCGTTTGGCCACAGGGATGCCGGGATGCCGGAAGCACTCAGCCCCGCGCCCTAGTGCAAGAAAGAGCAGCCGCGGAGGAGATGGTCTCGGCTCAGACCCGGGACCCGCCCGGGACCCGCGGAACCGTGCGGGGGGGGAAGCTGGGGTTTCGCTGCCGGAGGCATCCTGGCTGCCGCTTTCTGGAGCTTGGAATTTGATAAATATACCCTGGCGTTTGCCCTCGAATTAGACTCCGTTTCCTTATTTAGCCCCTGCACAATGATTTTAGATGATGTCACTTAGAGCTAAACGAGAAAATTGATCTCAGATTTGCTTGGCCTCTAAAGCTTGGTTAAGCAGATTGAGAATTAAAAAGACAGAGGGAAAAAGCGAAGGGGTGAGGGTGGGGTGAGGGTGGAGGGGAGGGATGTGTGCGCCCCGGAGTGTGTGCGCGGAGGGGAGGGCGCGCGGCGCGGTGGAGAGCGCCCCCGCCTCCTCTCTGGGCGGGGGAACGTCCCTCACCAATGAGAAGTAGTCGCCGACTGCAGAGAAAAAAAAAAGTTTTCCTGTTGACTGTTGGAAGCGAATTGAGCAATTATCTAGTTTACCTTCTCCTCTTGGAAGTTAACGATTGGCGAGATCTTGGCTGCGTTATTGACACAACACTTTCTATTGATAGAAATAAGTAGTGATTGTCCCTGAGTCATTGGTGCGCCGAGAACTCTGCGATGGGATGGCGGGAGTCCATTGGGCTGGGCAGGCAGGTTCGGCTGGCGATGCTGGGGAGGAGGAGGAGGAGGCTGCTGGTGGTGATCGCGCCCGTCCCCCTCTCCGCAGGTCTGTGACAAGCAGAGAACAAGGCAACGACAGCGCAGCCCGGCCTCGGCTGACGGACGCGGGCGGCTCAGACATGGACAGTGGCTGCCACAACGCGACCGCCAAAATGTTAGCGACTGCCCCGGCCCGGGGCAGCGCGATGAGCACCTCCAAACCCTTGGCTTTCTCCATCGAGCGGATCATGGCGCGCACCCCGGAGCCCAAGGCCCTGCCGGTCCCCCACTTCCTGCCGGGAGCCGTGCCCAAGGGGGACTCCAAGCACCCGCTGCATCTTAGCCCGTCGATCCCTTGCATGATCCCCTTCGTGCCGGTGGCGTACGACACGAGCCCCAAGGCTGGACTGACAGGCTCGGAGCCGCGGAAGGCGAGTCTGGAGCCTCCGGCGGCTCCGGCGGCGGGGTCCGCGTTCAGCTGCAGCGACCTGCTCAACTGCGCGCTGGGTCTCAAGGGCGACCTGGCCCGCGACGCGCTGCCGCTGCAGCAGTACAAGCTGGTGAGGCCGCGCGTGGTCAACCATTCTTCCTTCCACGCCATGGGAGCCCTGTGCTACCTGAACCGCGGCGACGGCCCGTGCCACCCGGCGGCGGCGGGCGTGAACATCCACCCGGTGGCCTCCTACTTCCTCAGCTCCCCTTTGCACGCGCAGCCCAAAACGTATTTAGCCGAAAGGAACAAACTGGTGGTCCCGGCCGCGGAGAAGTACCCCTCGGGCGTAGCTTTCAAAGACTTGTCCCAGGTTCAGCTGCAGCATTACATGAAGGAAAGCGCGCAGCTCCTGTCGGAAAAGATCGCCTTCAAGACCTCCGACTTCAGCCGAGGCTCTCCGAATGCCAAACCCAAAGTTTTCACGTGCGAAGTGTGTGGAAAGGCAAGTACTAGGAAGAAAGGAGTTATTCCTCCCCCCCCCTCCTTCCTTCCTTTTAAATTTTATTTCGTAATTATATGTATACAGTTGTTATAGGGTGATCTCCTCCCTCCGCCCGATTTTATTTCACGGTCCGTATGCATCGGACTAACCTGTTCTACATGTTGTTTCGCTTTAAGGTCTTTAATGCTCACTACAACTTAACCCGTCACATGCCGGTGCATACGGGAGCCAGGCCCTTCGTGTGCAAAGTGTGTGGAAAGGGGTTCCGGCAAGCCAGCACCCTGTGCCGGCACAAGATCATTCACACCCAGGTATGCCCATCGGTCTGCATGTCGCTTGGTTTGTAGAAAACGGCCCATCAACTCGTACACTTCGCTGCAAGGTTTGTTTGGAATCGGCCAGCTGGACACAGGGAGATGCTGGGCCTGGGTTGTTTGCCTTTGTTCTTCTTAAAAGCGCGAGGGAGAGCATGGCTGGGTGTCTGCGTTTACAGGACTGCACTTGATAACAAAACGCCGTAACTTTTTTTGCTTTCCCTCCCTCCTGTTTAGGAGAAACCTCACAAATGTAACCAGTGTGGCAAAGCGTTTAACAGAAGCTCCACTTTGAACACGCACACCCGGATACACGCGGGCTACAAACCGTTCATATGTGAATTCTGTGGCAAAGGATTTCATCAAAAAGGTAGCAAATCATGGAGCCCTCTTCACGGCGGTCTTACCAAAAACCCCAATTGTTTGGGGATGTTTTAGAAAATAGTTTTTAAAGCGCAGCTAGTTAACTGGCTTATGTGTTGCCATCCCAACCTCCTAGCTGGAAGTCCGGCTAGTCTTAGAGAAAGGAAGGCTGCATATACCAAGGGGGTATTTTCCCTAGCTACTTCCTCTCATCTTAGATAATTGGATTAATGAATACAATGAAAGGTGGAGGGAAGGGCCCCGTCGCTGCCGTTTATAAATAAACGCGGGGAGAGAAGTGCAGGCGCCGAGAGCCCTGCCCTGGCTGCGGGCTGTCCGAGCTGAGGCAGCCCTTCCTCCTGCCGGGCCCTTCCACCCCTCCGCGCCCTCCGGTTCCAGCCCTCTTTTCAAATCCGCCTTCCTGTCGTTTGTGTCTTTCAGGGAATTACAAAAACCACAAGCTGACCCACAGTGGGGAGAAGCAGTTCAAGTGCAATATCTGCAACAAGGCTTTCCACCAGGTCTACAACCTCACCTTCCACATGCACACCCACAACGACAAGAAGCCCTTCACCTGCCCCACGTGCGGCAAGGGCTTCTGCAGGAACTTTGACCTTAAGAAGCACGTCCGCAAGCTGCACGACAGCAGCCTGGGGCTGGCCCGCACGGCGGCCTGGGAGCCCGGCGCCGACCCGCAGCCCGCCGCGCAGCAGCCGACGCCCGCCCCGCCGCTGCCGCCGCAGCTGCCGCCCCCTGGGCCTCTGCAGCCCGGGCTCCATCCGAGCCACTAGTGATCAAGGCCAAAGTCCCATCCCAGTTCAGCCCAGCTCCCCAACACCGAGGCGGCAGAGTGGAGCTGGACCCCCGATCCGAGCTGGTCTGCAGACCCCAGGGCATGCTGGGCCCCACACATTGGCCCCGACCAAAAGCCGCTGCATTGCTCAGCCTTTCGCCTCTTGCATGCCCCTGATACAGGTCTCTGTGTATTATATTCTATACCATAGACACTGACAAGTATGAAAAAAATTGGGGGGTTTTGTTTTTCTGATTTTTTTTTTTAATTTGGAAAGACTTTTCATCTCGGTGGAGAGATGGTGTTTGTTTTAAAAAAAATTCTGCTGTATTTATTGAGATCTATATTATCCTACCCAGGAATGCTGCACCATTTTAATTTTATTATTGTATATATTTTCATTGTGTTGATTCTGTGGTCAAATGCCTGCCGATTGTTTATAATCATTTTCTCTTTCCCTGAAGTAACAAAACACTGAGTGTATGTTACACACACACACACACACACACACACACACACACACACACACACAGATGAGTGTACCTGGAAAGACACATTCTGCATTGAACACACACACACATACATACACATCAGTTGAGTATGGTTCATGATGAATGAATTTGAATTTTGCTTTTTTGATTCTTGCACGTGAAAATGGATTCATTGACTGTTAGAAATAAATACTGGGAATGTGCTTATTTAATCACCAGCTTCAGGGCTCTGTTCCCATTATTCAGCTGGAGATCACTAACTCTGGCCGCCTCATCCTTCCTCCTTTTTAAAAAGTTCAGCTCTGTGATAGTATCACCCTAATGCTTGATCTGAAAACTTTACCAACAGCAAGTAATAGTCTCTCCAAATAGTTCCAACTTTGGTAAAGTAATGAAGTTTGGTAAAGTTCAGAAGATGTGGCGTTTTGTAACAGGCATCATGCCTTGGTCCTGGGCCCTCTGGCAAGCTTGGGGCGCTCAGTGAGGTGGGGACACCTTATCGGGGAGAGATGTGTGGGGTACACACCCCAGGGCAGTAAAACCGCGCCTTGTCGAGGGGTGGCTATTGTTTGCATCCTGAGGGACTGCTGGCTGGTACACAGCTGGCGAGGGGAGCCGCGGCGTTTTGAGGTGTGTGTATATGTGTTTATAGATGAATATACTTCCGTTCAAGGAGTAAACGTGGACGAAAACCAAACTGCGGCGGGTGCCAGGTCCTTGAAACGCTTCAAGTGTGAACCAGCAGCTCGGCTGCGAGTTTGGGCTCTGGTGTTTTCCAACTGCAAGTCTCCCCCGTTCTCCTGCCAAAACAGTGAAACAACCGCTAAAGACTTTAATTAAGAGGGGTAATTAGTTCAGATTCATCAAAGACGGCATGCCATACGATTAGCTGCTCAGTAGAAGCTGCCAGACGAGCTCGCAGCCCAGCACAGCCATCCTTCCGCCCTGGGGCCGCGGCGGGGAGAGAGGCTGGGGGAGCCTCCGGGCGGGGTCCCCTCCGGCCTCCGCCCCCGCCCCTCCCGGCCTCCGCCCCCGCCCCTCCCGGCCTCCGCCCCCGCCCCTCCCGGCCTCCGCCCCCGCCCCTCCCGGCCTCCGCCCCCGCCCCTCCCGGCCTCCGCCCCCGCCCGCCCGGCCCCGCCGCAGCGGGAAAGCCCCGCGGATCCGCCCCGCGAGCGGGCGCAGGCCCCGAGACACCCAGGCTCGCCTCCCCGCGCCCGGGGTGGGGCGCCCGGACGGCGGCCAGAGGGCCCGCGAAGGAGTTGAAACGTGCGGACCCGCCTGGCTTTTGTGTTCCTTGCGGCGCTGAAGGAAACGGGGCGCCCGGAGGCCGCTCGCGGGGTGAAGGACGGAGGGGGGCGCCGCAGGGGCGAGGCGACAATATCCTTGGCCACCAGAGCCTGCATTTCCCGGCGGGGAAGGGTGGATGGCGGCAGGGGCCGGAGCCCAGGACCCGAAGGGCTCCCCGGAGGCCCAAGAGGCGAAGGGGTGACAGCGCGGGCGGAACGATCAGACCCCGCGGAACATCCAACTCCAGTCCCACCCGAGCCCCTTTCAGGGTGGGGGCGCCGGAGACCCCCCCCCCCCCCCCGGAGTTGGGCCGCAGGGTCCTGGGAACAGCAAAGTCCCGATTCCACGTGCAGACTTCGGAGGCCAGACTTGCGGGCTCTTGCCCCAGGTCGCACGCCTTTCAACCCCCCCACTCCCCGTGGCCCTGGGGCCCAGCAGTCATGAGATCGAATCCCCACATTTCTGTGTTCCTCACCTCCCCCACCCACCTGATCGGCGTTACATCTGACTTCGGAGAGATAGGGTTGTTTTGGAATTCCCCAGTTGGGAGGATTCTGAATCTGAGCGGCTGGCCGAGGTGCCATCTCTCCCTGAATATCGCAGACAACAGAAGCATCTTGTCCCAGGCCCTGGCCACATTCCCGCACAGCCGCCCAGCCACAGAGGGAGTCAGGCACATGCCCCCTAGTTTGTGGGTAACCAGCCACCTTTTGGAGGTGGCTTATTCGGATCTCGAAAGCATTTGTTCTCGTTGAGTAAATTGAAGGAGGCCAGGGATTATCATAGGAGACAGAAAATGGCCTTTGCTTCTTAAACTTATTCTCAATAATTATTTGAGCTTCTTCTCAAAACCCCAGGATGTAATTCTTCCAGGCTTTTAAGGTGGCAGGCTTTTACTGGTTAAAAACAAGAGGAATAGTGTTGAGGAAAATTACTAAGCCATAAAATATTTCCAGTTAGAAAATACTTATATGGTGGTCCTATCTTCTAATACATGCCAGTATGCTTTGACTTATATTGAAAAAGGAAGTCTTCTGTGGAAAGAAATAATTGGTCAGTGGGGGGAGAGAGAGAGTGGGGAGAGAGAGAGAGGAGAGAGAGAGAGAGAGAGAGAGAGAGAGAGAGAGAGAGAGAGAGAGAGAGAGAGAGAGAGAATCTGTTATTGTAATAGGGAATGACCTGTATAGGTCTAATTTGGTGCAAATTACAGAAAAGGCAGGCAAAAGGAAGCAGTTGTCTGTTTGAGTAGCCTGAAGTGGTGGTGATTAAGTAGGAAAAGCTGCAAATAAATTCTCTAAAATAAGCACTCAAGAGATTACTTGTCAGGAGACGAATTATCAGTAAACTTTGACTTATGACAAAGCTGGTAGAGCTTCTAACCATCAAGTAGAATCTCTTTAAGGATAGTCTGACTTTAGAGATGAAGCTGGAGGTGGTAAAAATGGATAAAGAAGGATACTAGCGAGAGGCCAGTGGAAGACCTTACCATTCTCTGCCATCTGACAAATAGTAAAAGGTGGCTTTCCCTCCTTTATCATCTAATCTCTGTGTGATGAGTGTTTATGTTTGTTCAGGAAACAGGCTGCTCCAAGTCCACTTTCTTTTTATTAGAGCGAGCCAGCAAACTCATGTGTGTAAGGTAGAGTGGCCAGTGTTCACATCACCTGCAGAGAGCAATGACTTGCCCTCAACTCTCTTTGTTGGCATTAACTTTTCTTACAGGGAAAGGCGGCCTGTGGGGCTGTAGGGGCCAATTTTAGAAATCTACTAATCTGGGGGCCTTATGTTTTGTTCAGTTTTGAAAATCAGAATAGAGAATAGAATGAATAATGTAAATAGTTCATTCCCTACCAATGCTACAGAACCCTAATCCTGACTTCTAATAACTTCATCCCAAAGGATATAGTTTGTTCAGACTTTCAAAATTTTAATTTGAGAACAAGTTATTGTGCAAGATTAAGACTAAGGTGTCAATTTCTCAGCATTGGGGGCTTCATCAAACTACTTGTTAGTAAGTTCGAAGCTTGGTGAATTTCTTTTTTTAAATAAATATATTTTTATTGATTTCGGAGAGGAAGGGAGATGGAGAGAGAGAAACATCAATGATGAGAGAGAATCATTAATCCGCTGCCTCCTGCACACCTCACAATGGGATCAAGCCTGAAACCCAGGCATGTGCCCTTGACTGGAATCGAACCTGGGACCCTACAGTCCACAGGCTGATACTCTATCCACTGAGCCAAACCAGCTGGGACACTTGGTGAATTTCTTATCAAGCTTTGCTCCTTCCCAAATGAATCCATCAGACACAATGGAGTCACAATTCCCAGTCATAATAGACTCTGTTTGATAGATACCTTTTATATAAGTGCAGTTAGCAATATCAGAAATCATTATTTGTTAGATTTGGTGATGACTCAAAGCATTGACTAAATTATAATTCTAAAGGGTCTATTCTGTCTTTGTAAAGTACTCATCCCAAAATATACAAGATAAAATATGAAATATAAATTATCTTAAATTCAAAATTAGGAAAGAAACAAAAGTTTGTTTTATCACTTTATAAATCCTTGTACTGGGTAAATCTTTAATTGTAAACATGAAGTTTATAATTTTAAGGGATCATGACTCACTCTCGTACCAAATAGTGCATTTTTATAAAAGCATGAAAAGGCAAGACACACCTAAATGTTAATGGATAAAAATGTGAAGTTGTTGACTGGTCGCCCCCCCCCCCCCAATTTTTTAAAAATATATTTTATTGATTTTTTACAGAGAGGAAGGGAGAGGGATAGAGAGTTAGAAACATCGATCAGCTGCCTCCCGCACACCTCCCACTGGGGATGTGCCCGCAACCAAGGAATATGCCCTTGACAGTTAATTAAAAACAAAAAAACTAATCATATTTGGAAGTAGAAGATACCTTATTATGAATTTGATTGTTTCTAGAAATCAAGGCATATGTCCATTCCAACTCCAGGGCAGATGAACTAAAAACAAAGTATATTAATGAACACACTGGTCATTTGTGTACTCTTGGTGATGAAACAGTTGCCAGTTCAAGCCAGTTCAAGTGAAGGGTTATCTCACTTCAGGCAATAGAGAAGAGAAGAGGGAGCCTGGTGTATAAATGACTTTGATGGAAAAATCTGCGTCTGTTACTATATTTTTCTGTTTGCATTGTGACATGTTGCCCATAATAAACTTTGAGGAAAAGTCA